GTCGCGCTGCAAAGTTTAAAGAACGAGCAGTCATTTCATATTGCACAAAACGAAAGGACATTCCTGTGTCTGCTCAACAAATCGGGTCCCAAGGATCCCATATTCGAGCGAGTCTTGCCTTTCTTACTGTGCAGCACACGAGGCGCAGTGTTGGGATCGAGAAAGAAAGAAAAAAATAACTTATGCTGAATGTTGCGCTATTTCGCCTACATGTAGACGTCACTGGGACTTTTTTTTTTATATAAAATAGGTTTTGCTGATTGTTTATGCTCAGTACTACGAGTGTTAATTATTCTAAACGGATTTTGGCCAGGGCAAAATGTCATGAAACGCCCTAAAATACTGGCTGTGATCCCAGGGCGTGAGGTGTTTCACTGGCAGTAATTATAAATGGACCACGAAAGTGTTTTCTTCACTCGCAGGTAAGATATAAAAAACAAACCCACGCCTCCTTTTTTTTTAAATTATATTATCATTACGGCCGGGCATCACATAACATCTACATCTGTTCAATGTCTCAAATGGGTGTAATTGTAGCTTTAGCTTCCTATCAAATGATCTGACAGTCTAAACGCACAATCTTAGCAAAATGAGTCCTCGATAAAGATAATTTGACAAAACTATTTCCCCCAGAAGCTTACGTATGTTTATTTTTTTTAATTTTAATGCTGTAAAAATATTCATTTTCGTGTTTTTTTTTACTTTACTTTCAGTGCTGCTTGTAAACTGTATGCCTCTTCAGAATGCAACTTTTCTTTTAGCATTAAGTTTGTAAGGCCTCTTAGTCATCCATTCTTTAGATGCTCGGAGCATTCACTTCTTCACTGCAAATACCAAAATAATAAACGTCGTGCTGTTGCTGATTTGATTAAGCTTGGTAAAGCTCAGGGTGTGTTTAAAAGCAAATCTGTGCAGGACTGCCCTTGATTTTTGAAAGATGAAACAGTCGGAATAGAAAACTTGCAAGTTTGCCTCAAGGGGGGAAGAAGGACAGCAATGGTGCCATTGATTGTACTCCAAGGAAACGGCACAAGGATTTTTTTAACTATAAAGTAACAATTAAATTTTGAAGAAAATATGTAAATTTAAAACGTTAGTGAACTAAAAGTGAGCGTCGCAAAAGTCAAACCGGGGACTTTTTACGTGCCAACCGAACGACGATCATTTAGCACGCCCCAGTGAAGGACTGAGGATTCATTTTGACCACCTGGGGACCTTTTGACGTGCAACTGAAAGCGCGGTTACACGGCGCCTTCTCCGCAATAAGCCTCCGTCAGATTGCAGGCACCTCGGCTGGTATTCGAACCAGCCACCTGGGGATCGAAGACAATGCCACACGCAGTATTTTTAACTGTCCGCGTTAAATGCAAAAACATCTTATAAAAAAAGACAAAATGAAAGGTTTCTAGTGAGACAGCCAAGCTGAACGAAAACCCATTCAGCTCTGAAGCGGCGCCAGGAACCGCGGCAGTCCTCACTGTGGTTGTGCCGGGCTTCCGCTAGATGGCGACGCCAAAACCTCTAGCCGCAATTTCTTTTTTTTTTTTTTTTATTGTTTGTACAATCTATTTTTTAACTTTGCGTCGCAGTATTGAAAGTTAAATCCTAGCTATAAGTTTGAACGTGTTAATAATTCGCTGTGCATAAATTTACGGTGCATTAATTGCGGCGGCGGCGCACAGGTATACCACGTCACCACTGGCGGCTCCCGCGGACGCATAATACAAATTGGTTTCGGACCGTAAAGATAGCTCTTAGATTTGTTGTTTTTTTTTCATTGTCGAATTTGTTGCTTGGCATACTTTTTCCGTCTAGGCTCTGGAAAAGCAATTCTTTCCCTTTCCATATGTCCTTAAGGCTCTCCAATATCACTTATAGATGTCTGTGAGGATACAAAAATACAAAAGTCGAAAAAGTGTTTACGAGCACATTTAAGAGAATTTGGGGTTTTATTTGCGTATGGTATGTGTCTTTGAGGTGATTGGCCCTTTAATTATGTTGTCGAATCTTCAGTCAGTACAATTGAATATATTTTTATTATAATCAATAAATTTGACTGTATAAAGTTCACATTACCAACTGCGACCGACACGAGAGGACGATAATTGAAAGTGACGCCAGCTATCGAGCCGTTATGCGGAAACGTGATTCTTTTATTCACTGTTGGGGGTGTGAAACACCGGTTCGCGGGGTATGAGCATTGTGTTACATGAAAGATCTAAAGGCAAATACATGAAATGTGCAGAAAGAGAAAGATAATGAATTCTATTCTTCACGTGAATCCGATACACGATGCCGTACTGCAAAAAGAAACACACAGAGAAGAAATAACATTCCTAATTACATATAAAGAGAGCGAATCACAAATGAAGATCCTTATAAACCACAAAATAAATTCAATTTGGGCATCAGCTCGCATGAACTCAAAACTTCGCGAAATATAGCCTCGGGAGGCTAATGTTATATCCGATTTTACTTGAACTTGTCTTGGGCCTTGACTTTACAAATTTCTGCTTTATCAGTCATGCGCTTTAACATTTCATTAGGCTTCCGTATATTATTGAAAAAAAACTAATATATAAAATACACAACTTTACAGTTTGGACATATAATTTTGCTAGTGCTGAAGACATTGCATTTCACAAAAAAAAACATTGATTAACATTTTTTTCACGTCTCGTCATCGCACTCTATGCTGGTGATCATTCCGATTTGTTTGCCGAGAAAATCAAATCCGGTGGCGTAAAATTTACGCTGCGCTAGTTTCGCGCGCAGTGCAAGCCAACTATTTGAGAGACACAAATTATTCTTGCTTGGTGCAGCATCGTGAGAAAAAATGCAAGCGTCTGGTTTATTAAAAAAAAAAAAACGCTTTGTTGCAATTGTGTTCTTGCAAACAAAGCAGTTTCCGGAACCACACTTTCTGGTCTGTACCGAAGATGCGGGACAGAGGAACTTTTAGAACACAGGATGTTTTACTTTAAAACATCCTGTTTTACTTTAAAACATATTGTTTTACTTTAAACCCACTTCTTCTCTTTTTTTTATCGTTGCTCCTCCTCCAGAAAATACTTTTTATTCTCGAGAGATTGTCCCTCCTAGTTTTGGGTAACAATTCGACAATTATATTTCAGTCACGTGTCCACAATAATCATTAATTGCTTATATTTTGCCGCCAAAAGCTGTAAACTTTCAACAAGAGTTGGGGAGGAACTTGAGAACGACACTACTGTGAGACAAAATGGCTGCCAACGTTCGGCTGTTCTTCTGAAGCCACAAGGTTCTTTCCTTTCAATTATCCATCTCGTACACACCTGCAGTTGCATGTGACGTCGGACTGCTAAGTCACATTTATTCCTTCCTATGCTTCTATCTTTGGGGACAACTTTTTGAGGCAATTCAGCAACAACAAAAACGTGTTTCGGTGCAACAACATGTGTCGTGCAACAATTTTTGTACTTTCACTAAATACCGCTATGAACTAATCCCTGACGTTTATAACCAGCAAAAACATCCATTAGTTTTCCTCTCCGCGCAATAGCACACGCATAAAAAAGAAAAAGAAAGACACAACTTCCCCTCCTCATCTCGCAATTAATAAAAGCGCGGCAACATGACTTGACACTAATATTATACCGTCAGTGTTTATCATAGTCATCCGCCATAGGGTTGGCCAAGCATAAAGAATTGACTGAGCTTCGTACATTCCTAAAGTTCGGCTCTTCTCATCTTTGATTGAACACCAGCAGTTATCCGGATGTTTAGTGATGCTGATTGTCATGGACCCAAGCACTGGACTCGGGATCATGATAATCGACTACGTCACAGTGTCAACAACGCTAATGAATCCAGTGGCCTTCTCAATTTAAACCGACTTGACGCGGCGAGTCACGTGTCACGTAAGCGTCAAAGGCCCACGTGACGTGACATTACTTTACAGCATGTCTTGACACCATGATATCACGTGAGCACGCGACATATGACTAATCATAGTGCCAATACAAAAGCGCCACGAAAACCAACAATTTCTCATACATTGCAATTTTGTACCTGACAATTTGATCAAGACAGAAATACAACTGCCAACGATGTATTCTCATATATTAATATCGTGATAATAACAATTTAAAAAAAAATGTCGTGAACCGTGTTGGACCGGTTACCGTTATAGCTTTTTTTTTCGGTTTAGTTCAAGCTCAGTTTTGAGGTGGTGGCGAATATTTAGATTTGGTTCAGTTCCGGTTCGGCTAAATATAACATCTCGGTTTCTGTTTGTGGTTCGGTTCGGTTTCGGTTCGACACTCTGGCTGGAGCTAAAGGTAATTTGCGCATACGTTTTTTAAGGCGGAGTGTGCGCTTTGCCGCAAAACACTGGGGAGATCCAATCACTGCGACCTAGGGAGGGAGCTTGACCAGTGACGAAGCTGATACTATCTTAAACAAAACAAAAATACGGTCTGCGCAGTCGCATCGAGAATGACATTTCACCATGCTATGCGTCCAGCGCAGACCGTTTTTTTTTGTTGTCTAACTATATGATCAGTCGGCTCATTCAACGAGGCGCCTCCACAGGTTGCAGCGATTGGGTTTTCCCAGTGCTTTGCGGGCAAGTAGACGCTCCAGGTTCATAGAGGGTGGTATGACCGAATACATCAAAGCCTTCTTCTGTTATTTTTTTGTTATTGAACCAAACATTAATCACAAAAGAACATGAACAATCCTTCAAGATTATTTTGATGTTGTTCTTGGATGCTTAAAGCCGGAACATTAAAGAATTTGGTGCAGCGTCATTTTAATTTGAACAGTAAAAGTGGCAATGGGTTAGTTGAAACGCGAGCTTGAAAATGACCATTTCACAGTAAAAAGTCTTAAGCAGGCATCTGGATTTCTACAGAGACTGGATATGCACATGCATGAAGTCGACAAACAATGTTCAAGGAAGCAAGTTTGTAAAACTATGCTAAGGGTCATCAAACATTCATTCAAAATTTTATCGAATTAATTGTTGCGTGTATGGGATAAGCTTTCAGCGGTACATATACAGTATCAATGTTTAAACAAAGCATAAAAATGAAACTATTACGCGTCTGACTAAAGCACAAACTTTACTTGATCTCAGAATATTTGTTCCTGGCTCAATTTGTTTTTTTAACAACCAATTTGCACGGCAAAGAAAACCTTAATGCTTATCAGGAAGTTCTTGGTTCATCCAAAGCATCATAATATCCGTACCTTTGAACTTTTCGTCAATTTTATGCTGCATTTTTGCGACAATTTCAGGCGAAAAGAACGATTTCCAACCCCCAACTGTACCTTTCCGAACAAAGCTGCACTTGGCCTCCTTTGTATCTTGGCTCGCCTCTGCACTTGAGATAATTGGGACATTGGCGCGCGTAAATACCTGCGACATTTCTTTAGGGTCGGTTCGCAACAGATTTTTCATAAATTCAACGCTGCTCCGTTCAAGAATAAGTTTCAGAAGCGCGCTGTCACTCCGCACCATATCGCCGTACTCCTCGCCCAAGAAGCGCGCCAACCTATGAACAACGTCCACTTTATCCCTACAAATCTCCTCGTATGTCACGAAAAACACATTAGCATCGTGTTTGTGATCGTAACCTGAGATGATGTGGTCGAAGTAGTCACCGAAGCCGAACCGTCCGTCGAGAAACGTGTCCAGGAATTCGTCGAATTTTCCGTCGGCAAACTCGAATAACGGAAAGTCCTGCATCAGATGGAAGTTGGACACGCAGCAGTCCCAGGGGTTTCTGGCAACGTAGACGTATTTGGCTTTGTCGCTGAGCCGCAATCTGTTCATCGGAAGGTGCGTCCGTAGGAGCCTTGGAGTACCTGATGCTTCCCGCAGTCCTTGAACCTCGAGGAAGGGTGCCCGCTTGTTGAATTCGGCGAATGTCTTCGTCGATTGACCCTTGTTCAAGATGAGCTGGATCATTTGCTGAACCAAATGCGTTCCCGATCTGGTAAAAGTCACCTGCGTTTTTTTTTTTTTTTATTGTTACAAGTTTATTTTTTACAGCGGAGCTGTTAAGGTCTAGGTTCCCCAGGATCGTGTCCGGTATCAAACGCCTGTCGACACAAACCTACCTAGACACTTACCGCCATCTATAAGTGACGGCGGCAAGCACACAGCCAGTCTTGTTGCCACCGTCGCTAGTAGATGGCGGCAACCTTTCCAGCTATTATAGAAGAATGGATAGTTGGGCGCGTTTGTGGGAATTCATCGTAGGAAACAGGCGCGAAAAAAAGACGACGACAAAGAAGCACACGTAACGAGCGCAGCGCACGTCACGTGTGTTTCTTAGTCCTCGTCTGTTTTGCGCGGCGCTGTTTCCGACGCTCTTATCAGTTTCGGTTTCGACTTAGGATGGGTGGGCCGCGCGCCCTTTTGGGGAAAGAAGACTGGCTGCGGAAGGAGCGGCGACGTACGCAGCAGCGCGAATGGGTCCGCAACCCCCGCAAAGCCGCTGTCGCCTCAACTTCCTCTGCGTCGTGCGCTTCAGATTCCCTTGCCAAAGAAGAGCACATCGCTCGCCTGGAAAGCCTCCGCCGAGAACGGAATCAGCGATGTAAAGGGCGCCGGCGGTACAACGCCATGGACGACGATCGTGCCACGGAGGCCAAGCGCAAGCGCGAGGCCCGGCTACGACTGTACTCCACGCCGGCTGAACAGTTCCCGGGCGCGACGGCGAGGTTCCGGAGGGGGTTCGTGGATTACCCGTTTGGCGTCACGTGCGCCGTGTGCGACCGACTCTGGTTCGCCGGAGACGTATACACGATCGGCGGCGTGTCGGACGAGAAGAAGTGGGAAACGGGCGCGTGCGTGTTGCGGCAGCGCATCGAGTACAGCTCCGCTGGTCTTCCTTCACAAAAGTGGAAAGGCTGAACGTTTTTTTTTTTCACTTGATAGCGTATGGACTTTCAGAAAAAGTCTGCGAGTTCACTTCCCCATAAAACAGAAAAACAGTCCATTGAGAGTTTTAGAGTAACGTTCGCAATTTTAGCGCACGCTAGCGCTAAATTTTGCGCTGGCGTTAGCGTACGCGACGCATGAAAGTTATAGAATAGCGTTTCTTCGGCGCGACGGCCGCGACGCAAAAGCCCAAGCATCTCGCGCTTGCAACGCCACCAAGACACAGTCACAATTTTTATTTCACGCACAAATTTTATTTCACGCAGCTGCACCACAGAGTGGTGCAGCTGCTCCCGTCGTCTGCTTCCCGCGCGAGGGCAGCCGGAGCCAGCGCGTGATGCATCCTGGTCCGGCGCGGCCGGCGCGGCCGGCGCGAAATACGGCATGCTCCATTTTGGCGTCGAGGCGGTCAGACGGCGTCGAACGCCGCCGGTCGCGTCGGTTACGACACGACGCCGGAGTATAGAGCGTCGGGTTTTCGACGACGTGACGTCGCTGTGGCGCGCTCGCACGCGCGCGCGCGTTACGTCGGAGTATAACAGAGCCTTTAAACAGGACCGATGCCGGCGAAACGGCAGTCGGCACACCAGCGAAGAAGCCCCCAACGGGAAGCGGCGGCGCAGGCCGACGCAGCCCCCCCTCCCCGTGAGCGTCTGGGTTCGAGATTATTGTTCGCTTTTGCTCCTTGCGGTCAAGGCTAACAAGAGCACTTCCGGACGAAGGTGTGTTTACAAACAAACCGGAGCGCCCCTAGCGGACGCCACCGGCGCCGCGCATGCGCGAGGGGGGTGTGGGCAAGAAGATCGCCGTCGCCCATAGACAAACCATTGAAATGCGATGTTATCGGCGTCGGTGTGAGTCCTCCTGCTCTTTTGCGCGTTCGAATTGTTGATTTTACGTCTTCCTGGCGATGTTCGACTACTTGAGCGGCGTCAGCGAAATTACCGAGGCTCGTTATACCGCGAAACTTCGCGCGAATAATGTGACATGTGGCGATTCATTCCGCTTGGACGCCGCAGTATGTACGCTAAAACCTGATTCGCATGAGGAGATTTCGCTCGCAATTTTCAGTCGCGACGCCGCTCGGGCTGCAAAAGCGTGAACCGCAGCTGAGATGGTCGACGTCGATACTGAAAATCGCAAGCAGAATCGGACCAAGTCAATTAGGCATAGCAAGTCAGAGATAGTCACTGGTAACAATGATCAACATCTTGTATTTACTGTTTATATCGAGCCTGCTTACCAACCTTCAAACGTAAGTCTTTTGAGGCCTGCACTTACTTCTTATCGCAAGTACCGGGCCAACATATACGGGCCGGCGCCGTCTAAGAGAGCAGACGACAAGCAGAAACGTTTGAGAGAGCAGACGACAACTCGAACGATCAGGCGGCCGTTTGAACTTGAAGACGCACTGAACGTAGTCCGCAGGCAGTCCGCACAACTTGACAGTTTTCTGGCGTTCATGTTGCAACAAAACAAATAAATCTGATGACCACAAGTATCCGTGAATTCAGCCCAAAGTGCTTCCCGCCCAAGCAATCGTTGTCCGAAGGCGTCTGCTTTTCCCTTTTTACGGCACAAATCCAGATTCTCGGACGAACCGAGCACCTGAAAACTGACCTTCAAACCTTTCTCGACACTTTTGGTACGGCCCCAGTCGCGGCGTTTTGACGAGAAGGCAGGCTTTTGTCTGGTTCCTTTCAAAACAACGCAGGAATACACGTCTGGCATGGGGACTTCTGCCCACAGCCCCAGACCGGAAGTGCGACCGACGCGCCACCACCGCGCCGTGACGTCACAGAGATGAGACATTTTTCACAGGAGTGGCGCCATCTTGAATTGTCGTCACTTCCAGTATGGGCGACGTCAAAATAGTAAAACGTTTCAACCTGTAACTAATAAAAAAATAAAGGGGAGCCAAAACGAGAATGTGTGACGGTTAGGCTTATATCCTAAATGTCTTCTATTGGCATGGTGACGCCAAAGTAATGTTTTCGCCCATACTGGAAGTGACGACATTTCAAGATGGCGGCGCCCTTGTGGAAAAGGTCTATACGCTGCAGTTACCAAAGCAGCTGTCCGGCGTCGCGTCGAGCGACGCTTGGCGAGTCGTGGTGAGTGAGGGGGAATACTGTTCGGGCATGCAGCGCCTATGAGCAGTTCCGTAACTGGGCTAATCTAATAACGTTGGCCGCAACTGACGGGCTGCTGCGCTTGTAGAAAAGTCGTCCGGAAAGCTTTTCGGTGTTCTCTCTGCAACGGAAAATTAACATAGGAAGAATATTTTGCTTCACCGAATCGGTCTAAAAGATTTCAGTTCGACGGGAGCTGCAGAGTTATTCGAGGTAGCCAGTGGCGTCACAAGGGGGCTGCGGGGGGCGGGTGGGGGGCAGACCGCCCCGGGTGCAGCGCCCAGGGGAGTGTTGAGGAGGGCCACGAGAGCGGGGGGAGGGGGGGGGGGGGGGGCAGAGGGAGGAGTCGTGGCGGGCCAACACCTCCTAGAAATCAGGCCGTAGCGCTCCGAGGGGGCACGTCACAATGGCGGAGGAAGGAAGGCCATGGCGCAACTACGTGAGAAAATGCCGGTGTCGACGCGTATCGGCGCAGTGATGTTTGTGCGCGTTTATCCGACATTAATACACGTTTCAAAAGCGCAGTCTTGTACAATTTATTTTATATATAATATAAACGTAATATACAACGTGTTACCAAGGTTGAAAGCACCAAATTTAAATTTTTTATTATCCCCGTAACCGCGAGACTACGCGCAGTCCCGCAGCTCCCCACACTTTTCGAATGAGCCGGCTCCGAATTTCCAATGCGACATCTTCCCTCGTACGTACGGGCTCTGATTCTTGTAAATTTACGTTGCGTGTGAGCTGCTGACTGTCTGCAAAGGTACGCTGAGACATTTCAAAACGGAAAGGAACCGAAAAACAATCCAGTCATTGCCGCACACGAGCAAGAGATGGGTCGGCAATGTTAAGCCTCTCGTTCCACACTGCTGGTGCTACTCTCGCGTGTATGTTATGTGTGTGTGTGGTTCTTTTCATCCTCCTACCCGTCGTTTTTTGTCGTCACCGGAGTCTTGGGTAGATTTTTTTTTGTGTGTGTGTGTTCGCTTGATATTACTGCATTTACGTGGATTCGCGAAACAAGACCTGCTACTGTTTAAGGCTGCGGTACCACGGCGGCCATCTTGAACAAAACATTAGTTGAACCACCAGGGCGGCGTTGGCTGTCCGTATGAGCAAATGCTGCAAAACCTGCGCGCCAATTTCGAAACCCTTTTTCCCGTCGCTTGCGACCTTGAGTTTCCTTCTCCACTTTTACGCCCCTCCTTTCACGTGTTCACCCTCTGGCCCGTCGCGCCCACGTTCATTGTTGGGAGGACAATGTACCGGATAATCCCCAACTTGAGGCCCCCTGCCAAAATTGTCCGGCTGCCAAGTGATTTGAGCGAGATGTGGTTTTGAAGCGGTATGGAAAAGTGGGACCGTCAATTTTGAACTATGCCTTTTCGATACTGCATAAGTTGTGTACGGGGCTGGCCAAGGCACGGGTGCGAGGACGTAACTGTATACAATGCTTGGGTTGCAGGAGCACTCGCGCGTAGAAATGGTAAGACGCGCTTTCTGAAATCACACGCCTACATTCCGCAGCGTTGCAATCCTACGAGTAAAACAGAGTACATCTTTGGACAGTGCGTGAGTTGATGCCGGCCGTACGAAAGACACACCTCGCGCTTCCTGTCACTACTGCCTCTGCTTGCACGCGCTGCCGATTGGCGGTCCTTTCTTTATTTTGTTTCGTCGCTCTTTTGAAAATACTGAAACTAATATTTTCTCAGACCCTGCTCATCGTACCTCTGCACTACAGCTGTGTAAACACATTGTGATGTAATTTGAGATATGGGACGGAGTGTCTACATTCTTATTTCGTGTGTAATGCCGGCATAATATTCCTTTGCTGCCAGAGGGTCAAAATAATGCTAGGGTTGGCAGCAAAAACTATTTCAATGACCGAATTATGATCAAACACCAGTAAGAACATAAAAAAGAAATCACATGGGGACAATAAAAATATTGCTACAAGAGGATGGTGCGCGGGGCACAAACAATATTCGGAGTGACGTTGAGGGAACGCGACAAGCCAGATCTTTCCTGATGGCAGCCGTAAAAGTTGATTGGTGCCTCGTTTTGATCGGCTTTGCACGGAAACTCGTCGACTACCGACTATCTTGTCAGTGGTGAACATAGTGAGCATGAACTGGATGATTTTTTTGTTGTTTTTGTTTCTGTAGTTAAATGAGAGTATGGAAATATGAGACATCCGCTGACGCTTGCGTCGGCTAGCGGAACCTCAATCGCCGATCGCGGCCGATGTCATGGGCGTATACAAATACATCAAGTCGTCTGGGCGGGAGCAGTTGAAGCGCCGCACTTTTTTGGCCGGTCAGTAGAGACTCCGCGAATTCTGACTCGAGGCTACTCTGTGCGGAGGGAGCCGCTACTGAGCGCGACCAATCGGAAACTAAGGATGGCTGAAATTTCCTAATTTCCATGAGATTTGAAAATTCGTTCTTGCCGTCGTAGTAAATTCGTCCGAATCGCTATTCGATTTACTAATCGATTATTTGGATGAAAAGGTATATTTCAAAATTCGTACGTGGCTCACCAAATGGCAATAAACTTGGTATAGGATTTCAAACTTATATAGTGTCGCCCTAATTTACAAACTTGTTTCACTTGAAATTAGAGTTCACGCGCAAGCGAGCTGGTGGAAGCCTATACTAAAAAGGCCAGAAACAAGAGAAACAAAAAATAAATAAATAAGAGCGGGATAAGCGCAACACAGTCTCAAAGCGGTAACCGTTCTTCATTAGGTGATGAAGAGTGGTCCCCGCTCGAAACGTCGTAGTAAACTTCGAATTAGTAACTCTGACAGTACGCATTTTTGCCTTTGTATATATATATATATATAGAGAGAGAGAGAGAGAGAAAGAGAGATAGGTAGATAGATATTTTTCACTATTTGCTGACGGCCGAAACTAACTATG